CATTTTGCATTGATTACTGAAGACTTTTCAACTGACATCTTTGGAAAACTTAATTTTATATATTTCAGATTATCAAACCAGTAGCTTATAAGATAAGAGGTTCCCAATTTTTATTTCTTTTCTTATTTACCTGTGGAACAAAGATTCAGGAATAAGTTCTCATTAAAGATGGGGATTTGGAGGAAGAATTTGAAAGCTAAAAATTTAACTTAGGATGAAACGATCAGGAATTATGTAGCTGTTCTATATTGAGTTATGATGGCATTTCTGGCCAATAGTAATAATATAGCAACTTAAGTTGGCCAAAGTTTATTAGTAATGCAGTTTTTGAAAGTTTAACTTTCAAGAGTTGTAAGCAATATTCTAATCATGCTTATCTCTTCATTTAGGATTAAAAGGAGGAGCAGGAGGTTCTGATGGACAAGGAGGTACCTTCCGGTACACCTTTCATGGTGATCCTCATGCCACATTTGCAGCATTTTTTGGAGGTTCCAACCCCTTTGAAATTTTCTTTGGAAGACGGATGGGTGGTGGTAGAGATTCTGAAGAAATGGAAGTAGATGGAGATCCTTTTAGTGCCTTTGGATTCAGCATGAATGGATATCCAAGAGACAGGAATTCTGTGGGGCCATCCCGCCTCAAACAAGATCCTCCAGTTATTCATGAACTTAGAGTATCACTTGAAGAAATATATAGTGGTTGTACCAAGCGAATGAAGATTTCTCGCAAAAGGTTAAACCCTGATGGAAGGAGTTATAGATCTGAGGACAAAATTCTCACCATTGAGATTAAAAAAGGATGGAAAGAAGGCACCAAAATTACTTTTCCAAGGGAAGGAGATGAAACACCAACTAGTATTCCAGCAGACATTGTTTTTATCATTAAAGATAAAGATCACCCAAAATTCAAAAGGGATGGATCAAATATAATTTATACTGCTAAAATTAGTTTACGAGAGGTAAGTTAGTAGGACCCAGGATTCTGAAACCAAACAATTATGTATCCAGTCTTAGAGAATTTATCTAAATAATAACTAACATTTATTTAGTGCTTACTATACATTATTTTTAAAATTTTCATTAGGACCCTCTGAGGTAGTACTACTGTTAGACCTCATTTATGGATAAGATTATATTTTCTAAGTTTAGTTATTTACACTAACAATCTAACAATTTAAATGCCAATTTTAAGTGCCAACTGGATTATGTACCACAAGGCCTAATCTGGGCTAACTCTACTCAGTTTTCACAAATACAGTTTATGAGATCTGCATTGTAATCTCATCACGTTATTCCATGTATAAGATTTTTTCCAAAATTGTTAACTTGCAGTAATAATTATATTTAAAAAAAGGTACTAAAAGACAAAATAATTGGCTCACACAGACACCTCTCGTCTGTGTGGCCATTGTTGCCTATGGCAGCATAACCTAGTAAACTCCTTTCCTATTTTCAAAAACAAACAAAAACAAAATAATTTATAAGGGTACTGCTTTAATACATGAGTTCTCATTTGTTCTATCTTTAGGAACTATTTCTTAAATTTAACTGTAAGCCTGCAAATATGGCAATGGCAGTTCCCTGCTTAAAATTCTTAAATGGTTCCACATAGCATCCACCGTAAAGTCTAAACTCTTTAGCTTAGAATAAAAGGTTGTTTTCAATCTGATTTCTACCCATAAATGTACCCATGTGCATCTCCCTAAGTGTGCTGTGTTATTGTCCTGTATGCCTCTCTGTCATTGTCCGGGCTATACTCTGTGAAACACTGCTATTCCTCACTCTACCTCAATACCTGCTTCTGTCCAGTGCTTACCTCAGCATTCTGTACTCCCAGAAACTACGGGGGTAAGTTAGGTGCCCTTTCTCTCACAAAAAACTTCTACACATACCTCTGTGCCAACTTTATACTGTATTTTAATTACTAGTTTACTTCTGAATTCTTTGTGCACTCCTTGAGGTGGGGTCAGTGTTCCTAGTCCCTCCCTCTATGCTCAGCATCTGGCAGGAATGTATGGCATATAGTAGGCACTCGGTAAATATTTGTTGACTAAAACGATAAATTTATTCCTCGTCCTAACATTTTCCCTATGGAGAAGTATGTGGTTGCTCCTAGCTTATTCTTTGCTGTCCTGGATTTCTCCCTCTTCTCTTCTCCCATTCCATTCCTGCATCTCGAATGTTGTAGCAGCAGCCTCAAACAATCCATGTCATTCCAGGGCAATGTGGGAGACATTTTTTCCTTCTCTTTTCCTCTCTTTCCCCTTTCCCCCTCTCCTTTCCTTTTGTAAAATGTCTGATTACGTATGTCCTGAAGGGGCTTTCTAATGGGGAAGAAGTCTTTTAATTATTGATATCCTTTTGGAGGTTAAAAACTTAACCTTAATGGTATCATCCTTTACATCTGGTAATAGTCTTGTTTAGACTTTTAAGTTTTGACGTTTGTTCATTTTATTTGGTCCATTTTAGGCATTGTGTGGCTGCTCAATTAATGTGCCAACAATGGATGGAAGAACCATACCTATGACAATAAATGATATCGTGAAACCTGGAATGAGGAGAAGAATTATTGGATATGGGCTACCGTTTCCAAAAAATCCTGACCACCGCGGTGACCTTCTAATTGAATTTGAGGTGTCCTTCCCAGATACTATATCCTCGTCATCCAAAGAAGTACTTAGGAAACATCTTCCTGCCTCATAGAATGAGGAACTTTGTTACCCATATTTTGATAAGGCACTGAAAATACAAAAGGACTGGCCGTTTACTGATGTAGATGTGAATTCTGTATAAAGACATGTAAATTATTTTGAGAGTTCATTAAATTGCATGAATAGAGACGGGTCAAATAAGTAGGCAAAAGGGATTTTTACAGTGGGAGATGAAGAGAAATCCATTCACTATATTTTATTTCACTTCTCCCAAGTCAGAAATTTTTAGTATTTTGCTTACATGTGAAATTTGTTTTTTGGAGTTAGTGGATACATTTCTAATAAAGTGCTAGGCTCTCCAAGTACTTTATTTCTTGTATCTTTACATTATCAGGATGATAGTTTCTCATTTATAATGGAAATTTAAATTCTTAACTGAACTATACACGTGATAGGTATTTCTAGAAAATAAAACCCAAGTCACTTGGAAATCTGGTTGGCTAGATTAAAATCACCATATGAAATGCTGCTATAGGGCTGGTACCCATAAAAGAATATCCTAATGCATTTGTTTCATCATTTTCATTGTAAAATTATACTGTAGCATTTCTTGATAACATAGCTGTAATGTTCTTAAGGCAGACCTATTCTTCATAAAAAGGAAATTAATGGCAATTTATCTCCTGTGGAAATCCCAATTGCCTGTATTACTGATATTTTAGAAATAGGTTGTTTTTAAAATACCATATGTAATTTTATGCAAGTTGACTATATATCTTGGACTTAATAAATTATAGGTACATTTTATTGTCCACTAGTTAAAAATAATTTGATAATAAATGTGTTTTTAGAGGAAATATTGTTACTTGGAATTAATTTCCCAATTACACAGTCTTCTGTAACTTACTCCATAATATGCTGTATGTACCTTATGCAATTTCCCTAAAAAGAATAAACAACCACTATGGTGTTAAACCAAAATATGGGGAAAATAAACACTAACTGCTGCTTATGAATGATGTTGCTACTACTTGTTATGCATATAAATATTTTACTTTTTCCCTATGTATAGATTGCATTCTTAGGTGTTTTAATTTTTTAAATATATTTACGTTTAAAAACTTGTTTTATTTTGTTTTCTATTTTATACTTATAGCAAGAACGATGTTTTGAAACAGTTTTTGGTTCAAAAGTAATTTTCAGGATGATGGGTATATACACAAGGTGTATTGGATCCTATCACCTTTTAGCAGACTATGACGTCTTCTTTTAGAAATTCAATAAATAGGTTTTAATCACCATATACTTTACAGCTTCATTGAGATATAATTCACATGCTATAAAGTTTACCCCCTTAAGGTGTAGAGTGGAGTGGTTTTAGTATAATCACTGAGTTGTGCAACCACTTTCTAATTCCAGAACACTTCCGTCACCGCAGAAAGAAACCCCATAACCATCGGCACTCATTTCCCATTCCTCCAGCCCCTGGCAAACACTAGTCTACTTTTTGTGTCTATGGATTTGTCTCTTCTGGACATTTCATATCAATGGGGTCAAACAATATTTGGCTTTTTAAGGGGGCTTCTTTCACTTAGCATGATGTTTTCAGGGTACATCCATGTTGCATCATGAATCAGTACCATACTTTTTTTTTAATGACTGAATAGTATTCTATTACATGGGTTTACCACATTTTGTCTATCCATTCATTAGTTGATGAGCATTTAGGTTATTTCTGCTTTTTGGCTATTATGAATATGCAACTGTGAACATTTTGGACCAAGTTGTTGGGTACAGAATTTTTTAATTTTCTTGAGTATATACCTAAGAATAAAATTGTTGGCAATAACCACATACTTTAGTGGCAGATGGAAAATGCTTGAAAATGCAAGAGAATTTAGCTAATCATGGGTCTTATTCCATCTAATTTATAAATGATTCCTTTTTAACTTTGCTTCTTGCAATGACAGTTGAAACTCCTTAGGGAAGTATGAACATCATGGAAATTTTCTCATGAGGCTAAAGAGATAGAGCTGAAAAGCATCAGTCAGAGTAGTGGGTGTGGTTTCTATTTTAAAACCACTGTCATCTATTGTAATTTTCTTGATTAAGCAATTTTCCCCCAAGTTAAAAAAATGATTTGTAGACTAGATATGTGGATAATCTTTGGATTAAAAAGTGTTGTTTTTTTTTAAATACAGAATTCTTCTTCTAGTAAAAATAAATTAATTTGCATTGCTGTATGAAAACAGTATACCAATATCTTTCTCATCTTAAAGGATACTGATAATGCCTTAGCATGCAGTGAGTGCTCAATTTTTACTTTGCTGAATGTTAAGTTAATAGAAAAGCAAAGTTTTAGAGTTTCCTTACTTAAAGTTATGAAAATACTTTTGATTTTAAAATGTTCTCTTTGAATTCAATCAGGTTCTTGGGTACCTGGAGTAGTTTGGAAGTATTGTAGATCTCAGTAAGCTAATTGATAAAGGTGTTTATCTCTCTTTCCTACAACTAAAATTTTATTGGTCCATCATCTCTGTAGCTTTTAGAGTTTTGGTTTATGTAAATGTAGTTCTTAAGCCATTGTTATAAAGAGGAAACTGGAGATTTGGGAAACGAGAAGGAGATAAAGTGGATGACAGGGGAAAATGAGAAGTTTTAGATGCAACCTTAAACATGAGAAATAAAACTAGAGGCAAAGAACTCCACTCCCGTTTCTGTTAAAGGGATGGCACCGAGATGAAGATAAACAAACTGGACCAGAAGTACTGTTGTGACATTGAATTGTAATGGGAGCTCAGTATTAGAGAAGAGTTTGGGAAATGTTTAGTATGCTTATTTAATAGGTTAAAGGATGCACAATATTTTAAATCTCAAGTGTATATTTTTCATCTCTAGTATTGGGGAATGGCTGGGTTCAAGAGATAGGATTAACTGAGAATCATAAAACACGAAAAATATGAAACATTTGGAAAGAGCTTAAGCTTCTTTTTTTCCTAATTGCCTTCTTCAGATGCCTATTATGTCTAACAAAGTAAAAATAAATTTGCAAGCATCTCATTGAAGCTGTGAGAATGGGAGATCTTGAAAAGTTTTTAGCGAGCAAGGAGTGGTAAACTATGTAATATTTATTAGTAGTTAAAAATACGAACTATTGTTCAGTTTTAAAAACTATTGTTCTTTTAAATTAATACAACCTTCATTTTAGTGAGTCTAAAAGCTTAGCATTCTATCTAAAACTTTTATTTTTCTTAACAACTTAAATTCCTCAGCTAATTGTTTTCCTACCAAATGCCTTCAGAACCATAATCCTCTCAACTGGGGAAGTTATATTTTACCGTGGCTTTTATAAATTATACTCCCTTATTAAAGCAACCTTGAAAATTGGCACAGCCTACTTCAGAGTAATAATTATACAGCAGGAATAGTTAAACATTTTATGCTTTTTCCCCCCAAATATTTGATTCATAAAACTTGGAGGAAATTTTTCAGAAGTTAAAATTGGAACCCTTAGCAGGTAATGGGGACTTAGTATTATTGGAAAGTTAGTTGCTGGTTGTATAGATTTATTTTCATCCAGTTTGAAGAAGGTATACATGATGACCAAGTGGAACTTATTCTAGGTATGCAAGACTGGCTCAGTATTTAAAATTCCTCCAGTACAGTGTTGTTCTGACTCACCAACTTTGTGCTGTTATTGGCAAATAGACTACATTTCTATATGTTATAGTCAATACATTATATACATATTGTTTTATACAATTGATTTCTAAATCAGTTAAGAGAAAGAAAGGAGAAGAACTATGCATTTGCACTGTCTTTTACAATTACCTCGACTAGGGCTCTCTGTTCATGTGGATTTGAATTACTGTCTGGGGCCGCCTGCTTTCAGCTTGAAGATCTTCTGTTAGTATTTCTTGTAAGATGGGTCTAAAATCAACAAATTCTCTGTTTTTTCTTACCTGGGAATGTCTTTATGTTGCCTTCTTCTTTGAAAGATAGCTTTGCTGGATATAGGATTTCTTTTTTTGGTCTTTTTGGTGGAGGGGGTTGTAGATAATTAGGTTTATTTATCTTTTAATGGAGCTGCTGGAGATTGAACCCAGGGCTTCGTGCATGCTAAGCACTCCATCTACCACTTGAGCTGTACCCTCCTCAACCAGGATTCTTGATTGACAGAATTTTTTTCTTTGAGCATTTTTAGTATGTTATCCCACTGTCTCTGGTTTCTCTTATTGTTATAAGTAAGCTGATTTTATTTGGGTTCCTTTGTAAGTGATGGGTAATTTATCTCTTGCTACATTGAGTATTTTCTCCACGGATATGTAGAGTGTTTTTCAATAAATTTGGGAAGTTTCCAGCCATTATTTCTTTAACTATTTTTTCTTCTCCTTTCTTTCTCTCCTCTCCTTTTGCTACTCCAGTTTTGCATGTATTGGTGCACTTAATGGCGTTCCACATTTTTCTGAGGCTCTATTCATTTTCCTGTATTCTTTTTTCTCTCTATACTTTGGGTTGCATAGCCTTTATCAATCTATCTTCAGGTTTGCTAATTTTTTTTCTGCCACGTCAGATCTACTTTGAGTGTCTCTAGTGAATTGATTATTTCAGTTGTGCTTTTAGCTCTAGATTTTCCATTTGGTTCTTTTTCATAATTTCTCTTTATTAACATTCTCTGGTGAGACATCATCATCCGTAATTAATCATGGTTTCCTTGTTTTCTTTGAACATATTTATAAGGGCTACGTTGAGGTTTTTGTCTGTTAAATCCAACATTTGTTTGCTGCCCAGGCAGTTCTTTTGCCTTTTTACTTTCTGGCGTAGAGGTCGTACTTTCTGTTTCTTTGTATTCTTGTTATTAATTTTTTGATATTAAGCATTTTCAATAATATAGCAACTCTAGGTACTAGTCCCCATCTTCTTTTAGGACTTGTTATTTACTTGTTTAGTGACTGAATATTTTAGTGAAGTCCATTTTCCCCTGTGATGTGAAGCCTCTGATGTTGGTCTTTAGAGGCTGCAGCCTTGAGTAAGCTCAGTCACCCTGGGATGACAGTGGTTTTAGTCAGGCTCTTTTTGTCTCTTTCCCTGACCACATCCAGTTGTTAAGCTACACTGATTGCTGACGAATTCTCCATTGTTTTCAACAATGCCCTTGGGCCGTAAATTGCTCCACAAACTAATCAAATCAGATTTCTCTGAAAGGATAGTTCTGAAATCTTGTTTGAGGTTTGTTCTGACCTCAGAAGGGCTCCTCCCACCTGTCTCTTTCCTCCCTCTGGGACTAATGCTAACTAATGCTGGTGGTAGGGACAATGTTGCTCTTCTTTCTGAGCGACACCCCTACTTTAGGAGCTGAGTGCTGGTGGGGTGGGGAGCAACTTGAGAGTGGCCCCAGGTCTCCTCAGCTGTCTCTCCCAGCATGGAAGCCCTGGCCCATGAACCAGTATAAGGGCACTGCTGCTCCCAAGGCAGATCCTCCATCCCAGTGCGGGAGTGGGAGAAGGATCCCCCAACTCTCCCTCACATTCACCCAGAACCGAGCCTCAGCGACAAGGCGTGAGGCAGGATGAGGAATGCTGCTGTCCTGCCTTCCCAGGGAGCTAGCCCTCTGAATGGGTAATTCCTCCCGTTGGAAGAACAGCGGTCTTGGCTGTGGCCGTCTGGGGTGGAATTTTCATCTCACGGAGTTGGAAGAGGGAGAGGTAGTGTGGGTATCTGTTCAAATACCACAGATTCTCGCTATTCTTACCAAATTTTATTAACTTTTCTTGAATAAATGTTTCTTCACTTGTATGCCACTAGAACAATTTCTAGAGACCAGCTGTTCTAAAAAACAATTTTCACCAGTTTCACTAGGAAGTGGGACTGAGGAGCCTCTCATGCTGTCTCATACCTGAGCTTAATAAGGTTTAAATCCTAACAAATTGAAAAAAGTTTCTTCAAAGACTGATAGGTAAGTTGTTTGTAATATGTTTCAGTTGTTCATGTATGTGCAATTATTTTGTTGTTGTTATGTTTTGGGGGAGAGGAAATTAGATTTATTTATTTACTTATTTATGTTAGTGGCAGTACTAGGGATTGAACCCAGGACCTTGTGCATGTTAAGCATGCGCTCTACCACTGAGCTATATTCTCCCTCCTTGTGCAACTATTAAAATGCCTAAACTAGTAGTGATGTGCTTAACAAAATATCTTTGGAGAAGGAAGATGGATATGCCTTTATTCTTTTTTTATGAGTAATGTTTTTGCTCACTTCTGAAGTATAAACTGAAACAAAGTACATAATAATATACAACTAGAAATTGGTCTATTTAAAATATGACCCACTAATGAAGGAAAGTGAATTGAGGTGGGAAGAATACTATTAGGCATCAGGTTTTACCAATAATTAACATCTGTAACCTTGGGGAGGTGGTTTAACCTCTCTACTTTAGTTTTCCCTCAGTGATAAAATAAAAGGTTTAGTAAGATGATCTCTAAGTCCTAGGAAACTTGAAAATTTTGTATTTCTAACAAGGAGAAATATGGAATGATGACTTCAAAATTTTATTTTATTTTCAAATTGTTTATTTATTTTGCAGCAGGTCAAATTTTAAAAATTAGGATACAATGCTATCTATAGTGTATCTATAGAAAAAAGGCTGGAAAAATACAAACCAAAATGTTTAAGTGATACTCTTGAGATGATGGAATTAAGGGTAAGTGTTGCTTTCATTTTATTTTTAAATTTAAAAAATTTTCTTCAAGGAACACATGCTACATTTATA